CAATTGGTAAATATTTTCTTAGCCGTACAGATACCTGCACAAAAAATATTCATTGGGTGCTTTCCAATTGCTTAACACATCTTGATACACACGTACACAAAACCAGTTTATTGGTTACATATTATCTAAAATATCTTGTAAGATAATATGCAACCAATAAACTGGTTTTGTGTAACACAGTGTACGCAACTGGAAAGCACACTTTGAATATGGCTTTAATTTCATTATTTGCAGATAAAAATCTCAGGACATTAGAAAAAATCACAATACCTTGCAAGATTATAGAATGATTCATCTTCCTGTTCGCGTACGAATCCTGATCATTAGCGGGAGCAAGTACAGTAACGTGACAACCGTCGATGGCACCAATCACTCCTGAAAAGTGTGGGTACTCCGTATAATTAATAGCAGTGAAAAGGCAAATAAACAGAGGATTGGTGTACAAAACACACACAATACAAAGTAACATGCATACCTGGATACCCTGCTCTGTCATAGAATTGTTGTCTTATTGCTGCACATTCATTCTCTTCAGGCCATACTATAAATTTATGACTTAATGCACAAAGAATATCAATGATACGATGAACTTCATGATATATTGTAGAAGGAGCTACACCAAACCTGTCAGCTCCATTCTCCATTGCTGACTGACCAGCCAGATACCACAGAGCTATAAGTGTTGCTTTATCAACTGTAATAACAGGGGCATCACCACGTTGCATTTTAGGCATATATATTGGAGCAATAACATTGACAAGTTCTATAAAAGTATCCTTGCGCATCCTGTTAAAAATAAGGAGAAAATTACATCGCAGACATGGATATTATAAAAAGCATAGCGTAAAGAGTACCGCATAGAATTTTTTTTATTTTTACCGAAACAGTCGGTGAAAATCGAAGTCTAAATAATACTGGATCCATTTTTCACCGCACAATTGACCTAATCTGAAATGCCGCTGCCTATCCTCTTTTCGAAACAGCAAAGAAACATTACACACTGCTCCTAACTTACTACATGCAATGATGAGTAAGTCATCATCAAAGGTCTCCTCCTCAAATAGTTGTATTGCCAAGGCTAAGGCTACATTTGTCTTCTGATTCATATTCGTCCAAATAACGCTAGCATGTTTGGT